TGTCCCAGTGCAGCCTGGCGGCCGGGCCGCCGCCCAACTCCATGGGCCTGTCCAACAGCCTGGCGGGCTCCAACGGCGCCGGCCTGCAGTCGCACCTCTACCAGCCCGCCTTCCCCGGCATGGTGCCCGCCTCGCTGCCCGGGCCCAGCAACGTCACGGGCTCGCCGCAGCTCTGCAGCTCCCCGGACAGCAGCGACGTGTGGCGGGGCACCAGCATCGCCTCCCTCCGCCGCAAGGCGCTGGAGCACACAGTGTCCATGAGCTTCACCTAATCGGCCCGCGCCGCCGCCCCCTCGCCCCCCACTCTACTTACCAGGGAGTCGACTCAGGATCTGAAATCAGACACCAATGGACTGGTTCGTGGGCAGACAGACACACACACACACACACACACACACACGTGCACACGCATACATGCACGCACACACACACACACACACGTGCACACACCCACCCCCGCGCACACACCCGCACACGCGCACCCAGGCCCGTGCTCCAGGAGCAGACACGACGCCTCGCGTCCTCACACCGCGCAGCAGAGGACTCAGGGGCAGCGGGGACCTCATTTCACCCCTTCCCCCATCTCCGGGGCTGTGCAGAGACCCAGAGCTTGGGTTGGGGGGGTCTGTTAGTTCTGTTTTTCCTCGAGGAGAAGGGGGTGGAGGTGGGCGGCGGGGAAGCGATAGGAGCAGCGAGGTTAGCAGAGTCCGGTTTTGATAAGAGACCAAATAATCATCAGCATCCAAGTGCGGTGTTGGTCCCCCCACCCGCTTTTCTTTTGTGCACTTCAATCCCACACCCCTCCCCGGATATTTAATATCTCCATCCACTTGGTTGCGACTCTGTCCCCTTCCCTTGCCTCCTTTGCCTGCTTGCCCCCGGAGCCGGTCCCCCGCCCTGCTGCCCCCTGGCCCCGCGGCAGGTCCCGGCGGTGCGGAGCCGGGGCAGGTGCCTGGAGCGCGCAGCCGGCCGGGACGCGCCCGCCGCGCCGGACGTTGTACAGACACAATCAGCTCTTTTCTGCATGTGCTGGTCAAACCCAACCCCAGAGAACAGAGGCGATCCGGAAGAATGAGCAAAGCAATGTGAGATAGGATGTTTTGTGTAGATAAAGCATTCTTGTTCCATCCTGGTCGGTTTGTGATGTTCCCACCTCTTGTCTGTGCTTATTTATTGAACTTTTTGGGTTTCTTAATAAATGTTTGAGCTAAATACAAAGCAGATTCTTTGACTCTCCCCCCCGCCCCCACACGCGTTCATGTAAGCGGATCAATAAAATCATATGCAGCACGAGGAGCCCGGGTTTTGGTGTGGCGGGAGGCGCGACGCGGGGCTCGGAGCAGGGCGGCAGGGGCTCTGCCCCAGCGCGGCGGGGGCGCTCGCGTGGGACTTTGCATTGAAGCCTTTTCCTGTCCCGATGAAGACCCGCGGGTTCATCCCCTGCCTGACGGGCCTTTCCGCTCCGAGACGCCGCACGCCCCGGGCCGGGCCGAGGGAGGGAGACGGGCCCCGCGGCGGGGGGCGGGGGGAGCGCGGGCGGCCCCAGCCCTGGGACCTGTTGGCCGGCGCTGGAGCCGTGTTGGCGCCCCAGGCTCCTGGCCCGAGCCACGCAGGCTTGCTGAGATTACTTCTGGGCGAGGCCGAGAGGAAGCTCCCGCGCGGGCCAGGCGGAATCCGGAGTGAATTCGGCGCCGGGCGCTCTGCCCGGGGAAGACTCGGGGCCCGATCGCCGCTTGGATGCCAGGTTTAGGGGGAACGGAGACGGCATCGCTGCTCATCCCGCTGTGGACCCGGGCCCGGGCTGGGGGAGGAGGGGGCACTGGACCAGGAAGGGGCCGCAGGGAGCGGGAAGGCGGGAGGCGAGCTCGGCGCTGGGCTTCGGGAACCCCTCCATTTCCTTCCCGCAAACGTTGCCCCGGGCAAGGGCCGGGCTGGTGCCGAGGCGAAGCCTCCTCGTGCCATCCTCCGAGAGCTGCTGCCCTGCCCAGCCCTTACCCATCTCTCCACCCCCCCCGGGAGCGCAGGAGGGTCCTCGCTGGCTCCACAGTGCGGATTGCACCTGCACGTTTCATTGCAAAGAGAAATAAAAGGAGGAGGAATGGCTGGAGCCGCGGGCCGGGGTGGCTGGGAAGCAGCCCCACGCCCCTCTGCACAAGCCGGCGGCCCTGGATGTCATCAGGCCAGTGAACATCTCACTCCCCCCCCTCGCCCCCGGGGGGTGATCAGGATCCAGTGGATCGCGTTGCATCGCTCCCAGCCACCGCGGCAGCCAGAGGCAAAACACTGCCCCCCACCCGCCACGCACAAGCGGGCCCGGAGATGCCCGCCCCGGGCAGCGATCGCCCTGCCACGCGAGGGGGCTTCGTGCCCACTGTCCGGGCTGCCCCCTCGCCCCAGCATGTGCCCTTGGTACGGAGCGGGCATGGCCTGGCCCCACTCCGCTTCACGGGCTGCCCCTCGGGAAGGCGCGGGCACGCCGGGCACCCAGGACCCGGAGCCCCTTTCTGCCAGCTCAGCGCAGTCCTTGCTCCTTTTGTTCTTGCTCTTCCCCAGGCCCAGTCCAGCCTGTGGGTGCAAGGCATGGCTCAGCCTCCAGGTAGATCAGTGCAAACCTCCCGGTGCTTCCTCCAGATGTAGGGAAGGTTGTTTACAAGCGTGTTAATTTTACAGCTTCTTTATAGTGCTGTGAGCCAGACAGCTTTATGGTGTAGGGGCGTAGTAAAACGCGGTATACAAGATCTTTAAAAAAATATCTGCTTTTTAATGGGGGGGAAAATGTGTTGTCTTGTGCGAGGGCGGGGAGGGGGGGAAAGAAAGAGAGAGAGAGAAAGAGAGAGCGAGAGAGAGAGCCCCGATCCGCCAAGTCCTAGGCTTGCTGCTAATGGGAAATTGCAAATCTGAGAAAGGTGCCCCACGAAGCCCTGTCCATTTAATTACTTCTCCGCAAATATCAATCCTTTTCTCAATATCCAAATGCAAACGTTGTCCTGCTTTACGAACAAAGCTTTTTTGGCTTCATCCAACTTTGCTATAACATTTGTTTCCATGGCAATAGATCTTCATGTTAGGCATCCTAGAGATTTTTGAAATTATCCAGACCCACTGTACCAGCTGAAGATTTGCAACACTCGTGCATGTTACAGGTTGCAACGGGCTGATTTGATTCCCCTGGCTCTCTCACATTGGATTTTAAAATACCCAAATAAACAACTCTGCCCATTTTTGCGTCCCTTGTTTCGTGCAAACAGACCGCTCAGAGTGACTGAATTCCATACAGATCGACGAGGGACGTTCAAGATGAATAATAATTAGCCTATTACATACTAAGTAGCTAATGCAGCTGATTGGGTTTGTACAAACTGGGTTTCTCTGCCTGCCTCAAGTGATCAATTATCCACCAAGGTTCTAAATAGATTCAGACAGAAGTATCTAGGTATGGATTCGTTTCCATACAAGGTTTACTTGCCTTTGCCTATAACATGGCAGCTGACGTGTAAAGCATAGGCACAATGTGAATGTCGCTGATCGTCTTCTTTGCTCTTCAGAGGAAACGCTTTGACACCCTCCCCATCCTCTGTTTCTCCCCTCTAATCCCACTGAAAGGCAGAATCTTCTTCTCCCCCGTAGGAGATTGTGTCTATTGAGCAATAATTAATAGAGGTAGAAATTTTGGAAAGTGAGGGTCTCAGGTAACAGGCAGTATAGATGACATTATTGAAGTAGCAGTAGTACTTTCTACCCCTGAAAATGAACATGTGGTTTAATTTGTGTTGTGGACTTTAAATTTTCATTTTCAGAATAAAAAAACTCAGAACATGAAAATGTATCTTAGAGTAATGGAGGAATGGCAGTTAACCTGTCAGTTGAAAGTATGTAACCTTCTTTTTCTCCTTTTCATGACAAAGGTAATCTCATCTGAGGGCATTTATGTGAAGAAATAACAGCATGGCATGGTGAAACCACTGGCTCATTAATCCTGGCATCTACTTCCTGCAGGGGTTCTTGATTAGTTAGATTCATTCATTGGGTATTTCTGAGTTTTTGATTTGTCGCCATTGGCTAGGTTCACTGAGTTCAGGCTAAATTGAGCCAGAAGCAATGTTTATTAGTAATTTTGTAATACAGACTACCCTAATAATTCAGCACAAATATCTCATCTGAAATATATCCATTCACCCTAACACCTAATGCAGGTTGCAGCTGTGTTCAGAGAGAATTGAAAGAATACAAGTGATCGGGCATGTATTTTCTAAATTATTAATATGAGGGCTAATAGCTAAGCCATCTTCATTTCCAATGTAGGCATTAAGATCTATTTTTTAAAAAGTAAGCACTGACATAAAGGGGGCCACCCCCTGCCTGGTATTAACTCTGATCAGCTCAGCTCAGTCAGTTCGAGAAATGGGACCTATTTAGCATTTCAGTATAAAAAGAAGTGAGAGAACAAAGGGCCTTTTGCTTTTCTGAAGCTCCTGAAAAAAAATAAAACAGAAACACTATTATAAAAGGAACAGAAAGAAAGATCACAATAAATCATAATTCTGCAATGGCGCAGATATTTCCCAATCAGCTGTTCACCAACCATAATGTAATTATGTGTTAAACAGACAAAAGGAGGAAACATGATAATGCCGTGTTTGTACAGACACTGAAATACATTCTTAACTATGTGCACACGAGCAGTCTCACAGACATGTACAAGTGTTTGCAGGATTAGTATTGGTTTATGCCCAAACTGCATACCCTAACCTGTTTTCTAAAATCATCAAATCTAGCCACATGTATTCTGAAATAACTGTGTTCATACACTGACTTGCACCTACAGTGATTTTAATTAGGGCATTTTGCTGTATATTTGTGCTTAGCAAGGCCATATCAAAGCAGGTAAAATCCAGCGTCCAAAAGCTTCCTGACCAAGTACACATGCTCACATCAGAATATCTTGGGGGAAGCCATTGACTGAAATTGCTTTCCTCATGGGAATAAATTATGGAGAACTTAAGCAACTCATGCAGCACCATCCATCTCCTATTAGAGACTGGAGACTGCCTGTTATTAGGATAGTAACACAACCATAGTTGAAAAACTCAGGCCCAATCTGGAGGGACAATGATCATGAAAACAGTAGTGGAGACAGAGGGGGCTGAACAATGCCAGAACCAGGTAGGGAAGTAATAGAGTGTGGTCCATTATTCATCATTATTATTTCCTTTACCTAGTGCCCAAAGAGCACATTGTGACTGCCAGCTACACATGGGCCTTACCCACAAGC